TTAGCTGCTATCTGTGCTAAGGTGGAATTTTTTATGTTTCGTAAAAATCGTTTAGAGTACCCACGCTCTTTCAGTTTTGAGAAAACAATCGTACAGGCTTGGTTGAAATCAGATGATCTTGTACAAATTCGATGAAATCGTAAAACTTGTGACTTAATTATACCAGAAAAGGTATGTTTTGGGTGAAAGGAGCTCTTGTGCAAGAGTTGATGAGTATCAGTTTCTTTGAAATACACTTTAATATCCAGTTTATTTGTTTCTGCTATGGAATCTCCCTTAAAGACTGTGGTATCGAGAAAGTCTATGCTTTTGTCACTCACGTTTGCGGTTAGTTTGATAGAAGGATGGTGGTTGTTGAGAATTTCAAAGAATTCCCAAAACTGTTCGATAGAATAAGTCCAAACCATAAAAATGTCATCCAAAAAGCGTCCGTAAAAAAGTGGGTCAAATGGACAGAGGGGCAACACCTCATGTTCCCACTCTGCCATGAAAAGGTTTGCGTACGAAGGGGCGAATCGTTTGCCCATTGCTGTCCCTGAAGTTTGTAAATATGTTTTACCATTAAATGTGAAATCGTTTCGACTAAGACAAATCTCTAAAAGCTGTAGAATTGCATCGTCGGGTCTGTTTGGATTTGGGTTTCTATTAAAAGCTTTACGAACTGCCGTTAAACCAGTAGTGTTATCGATATTGGTATACATAGAAGAAACGTCGATAGAAATTAAAATGGCATTAGAGGGAACTCGAAAATTTTTATTTTATTGACAAAATCGGTTGTGTCTTTAAGGTAGGTGCGATGTTGGCATGCTAGAGGTAGTAAGAAATGATCAATGTATTCTGACACTGCATATGACTCACTACCACAGTCAGATATAATCGGGCGGCCTTTAGGGATTTTATTCGAGATAAACCACTCCTTGGTTGGATTCTTATGGATTTTAGGCAAAGTGTACAAATGTCTCTCGCGACAATCAGGTTTGGCAGACAGTAGTCATATTGTTTCTGTTTGAGATAACTAGTTTTGACTAAATCGACAAGAATATTATTAATCATGTTAGCAGTTTCTTTGAAAATTGGTTTCGGTAAAATGGCATAATGTTTAGGATTATTCAGTTGATTCTCTGCTTCTGAAACGTAATCTTCCCTATTCAGAATGACACAACATGAACCTTTGTCACTCTTTTTAATAACAATGCTATCGTCTTTCTTAAGTAAGTTTAACGCTTCACGTTCCACTCGTGTGAGATTAGGCTTTTCGTGTGTTATGGAAAGGTTCACTGTTTGGCTATTCATACTCGCAAATGCTTTCAATATTTCAGGATGGATGGCGGCCTGTCCACGTGGATTTAGGAATAAACATTGTTCTAGCACCACGTGGGGGGTGGTTTCGAAAAAAATATGTGCAGCTAAGATTTCGTTGAAATCGTTCAATGGATGGTCGGAGATAATTCAAGTTAGCTATCTTTGGTGTGGGAATAAATTTAAGTCCACGGTCTAAGATTGAATGCTGAAGGGGTATGAGAATTTTGCGGCTCAAGTTAACTACAGTTTGGCCTAGCGGTGGCCTCTCAGTATTTTTATCCCCAGTAATTAGTTTAAAGACTTACTCGATGCTTGAAGTTGGTGTATCCAAAACAAATAGATGCTGTTTGCTGTTTCTGGAGACCAATGAAGATTATCAACTGTTTCGAATTCTTCTTCGTAGGGTGGTAAGATTGTTGCGCTGTTGATACTGGACTCCATCATCATGTTGTTGAGGGTGCTGAGGTTCTGTTGTGCTTTCTTCGAGATTTTATTTGAAATGGGTATACATGTGAAGAGGATCTTGGAGTTTGGGAAGGTTTTGTTGGCTGTGGCGATTAATTTCTGGGCTTGGTTAAAGGAGGTCTTTGGTATCTGATCACGGTTGTTGAGGCCTACATGAAGAATAATGGTAGTAGGCTTGGGATCATGGTCGTATGATTCCAGAATTGACTGTATGTGATGGATTTGGGCACCGGGGTAAGAATGTATTTCGGTGTCTGAACTGGTTTTGGTAATTCGATTCAGGTTAGATGATCCAATTATTAAGGTAGATTTCTTTAGAGCAGGCAGTTTCCATAATGATTTGTCCTTGGTTTGGTGATAATACGATTTGGTAGCGGATATAATGGTCGTCGACGGTGTGATTGGTACTGGTTTGTTAGTTGTTAGAATTGTAGCATTGGGAACGGACTGGGATCTGGTTCGAGGAGGGGAAGGTCTGGATACACGTCTCGACTTGGATGGAGACTGAGGGGTGGTTTGCTGGTCCAAAAACGCACAGAAGGAAGAAAGGTGGCGGATCCTGGATCACGTGGTGAAGATTCAGATGGGAAGGGGAAGACGAGTCTGAAAGTGAAAAGAGAAGGGGTGTGCCCTCTCTACGAGAGCGTTTACCTATGTCTGCTGGACTAGGAGTAGGTGAACTTCGGGCTCGTTTAGGGGTTTGGTTCGGCAGCGTGGTGGCTCTAGATGGTGCAGGTGTAGTGTCCATTTCAGTTGGTAGAGATATGGTTACTCTGGTTTTTGTTTCGTTGATTGTTTGGTAGAATTTGGAGATTACAGCTTGAGTGAGACGTTTCCCATAGGAGCGACAGGCCCAGGACAGGGCATGAGAAACGATGCGGTCGACGGCAGGTGATGATAAAGACTTGGTACGAATGGTGGTCAGCTTCTCTTGAAGTGTGGTTTGGTAATGGTCGATCAGGACCTGCGTAACCTTACAGAGCCATGTCCGATTGAGGGATCTAATATTCGCGTCGACAGCTGATGTTTTCATTGCTGGACGGATAAAACTATCCAACTCAGAGACTTTGCGTTTGAAGGTAAACGCTGGTTGGCCTTGCTGTTGAAGGGTAAGGATTGCCAAAAAATGGAGGCACTGCAAAACTTGGAAGAACACCTTCACAAAGGGTTCTTCCTCCTTATGAGTGGGGACTGGTTGGCGTCGGTGGGCTGGTAGTCGTTTCTGTTGTTGGTCAGGTCGATGGTTACCTCTTGATTGGTAGGCTGTGTTGTAGGTAGGTCGGCGATGGGGTGGGATATAGCTGGATGGGTTGGTTGGTGGTCGGCGATTGGTAGGTGGTAGAGGTCGATGGAAGACAGGGCCGTTGTAGGGTACGTGATATTGGTTTGGTTGACGATTAGTGTTTCTATTTCTGGCTTCTTGCCAGTGGTTGATGTAGTTGGGGAGCATAATGAAAATAACTTGGGGTTAGAAGGGAATGTACAGCGGATGTAACAGGAGGAAACTGTATATGCTAGCGTGAAAATGTTGGGATCAAATTATGCAAATAAGTCAAACTGGGTTTGGGGATATATAAAGTAAGATGAAGGTTATGATGAAAAATGCAAAAAAATATATTTAGGTGATAAATAACGCTAACAATGATGTGAAAAATTATAACAAGTAAAACAAAAACACGCAATTGACACGAACCGGTTTTCGAAATATTATCCTTTTTCAAGTGTCGAGGAATGGTTATGTTATTTTATTATATAATAATCAATACATAAGCTTATACATGTATATTTAGAGTTGTCATCATTTTCAGATTTCCTCTCAGTAAACCAGTTCTTCTGGAAAGATGGCTTTCTAATTTGAGAAAAGAGAACTATATTCCAAAGCACTTTTCAACATTATGTTCGAAACACTTTGAAGAATGCTGTTTCTACAGATTTGGAATGAGAACACAACTTAAAGAAGATGTTGTGCCAACAATCTTTGACTTTCCATTTCATCTACAGAATGTATGTGTACCGGTACTAGAAATATTTCAAGGGTTTTAATATTTTTTTGCTTGTAAACAATATTTTATTCACAAGAGAAATGGATTAGGGAACAGGCTTTCGCCTATATAACCCCTTTCCTATAATACAAAGTCACAAAACAATTTAGATTAAATACAATATGAAAAATATATACAACATAATATATACATGTAATTAAATGAAAATGAGCATACACTCATGAAATAAGAGGTACAGGAGTTATTTATGTCAAATTTTGAAATTTTGTTAAAAAAAGAAAAAGAATAGAATAAAAGCAATTAATGGCAGTAAAATAATTACCTAATCTCGGAACCTTCTGCTGATATTTAAAAATGAATGAACTTTTTCGAAAATATAGAAAGGCTGTGTGAATTTATCAAATGAGGTGGTTGAATCAGTAAGATGGATTGGTTTTGTGCATCTGAATGTAAGGGACAGTATAAAAGAAAATGTTCAATATCTTCAAATTGATGGCCACACTGACATGTAGGACTGTCCGAAATATGACGAAAAAATTTATGAGCATTGAGATTACTACAGGAAAGGCGCAGACGGCAATGTAGAATCTGATATTTTAGGCTGCCAAATAAATAAGAATAAAGGACAATACTATCTTCAGATTTAAAGAGTGATTTAAAAGATATTACTGCGTCGACAATTTTGAAATTTTCGGGCAAGTTGTTCCATTCACGCATTGTTGATGGTAAAAAAGAGTTATAGAAAAGCTGAGTTCTACATCGGTGTTCTTGAAGTATGTTATTACATCTGAAGTTATATGGTCTGGATTCAATTTGGACTAATTCAGAAAGATACATAAGAGTCAAATTATTAATTATTTTATACAACATAGTAAGCTTATGCCGCCTCCGTCTCTCCTGTAGTGTGATGAATCCAGTTTCCTTGTAAATGACGTCATTGCTAGTTCCCCTTACAGCACCACATATAGTTCTGAGTGCATCTAATTGTAAATTTTCTAAAGCATTTGTTAGTTCGGCAGTGCACCCATCCCAAATGACATCACAGTAATCAAAATGAGGAAGTATATATGAGGTATAATGGTATGGAGGGACTTTCTATTTAAGCGGTATTTCATAGATCTCAGACAATTGACCAGCATTCCAGTTTTCGTTAAAATCTCCTTAATGTGAACATCGCATTGACAGTTTTTTTGAAAAGATAGACCTAAGTGTTTGTGAGAGATGACTTCTTTGATAGGTATATTATCTAAATTAAGAGTTGGTAAGAGTGGGTTTTTCTTAGTACAAAGTGCCAGTGTTTCAGTTTTCAGTGGGTTGGAGGAGACTAGCCATGTTATGACACAGTTGTTAATTATTTCTAAGTCATTATTCAAGACAGTCGCAGATGCTACCGGGTCCTCAATTCTTATAAACGATAATATTATGTCAGCAAAGAGTCGGATATTTGATTTTATATTTTATACAATGTCGTTAATATATATCAGAAAGAGTAAAGGACCAAGGACAGAACCCTGCGGAACACCAGCAGGCACGGTTTTGACATCAGAGGAGACCCCGTGTAAGTACACGCTGAGTTCTATCAGTAAGATAATTTTTTAACCAATTTAGTAGCTCTCCTCTGATACCAGCAGCATTTAGCTTGTGACAGAGTCCATTGTGCAAGACTCGTGTCAAAAGCCTTGCTGATGTCACAGAATACTGTCCTTGTATACTGACCCTGATCTATGGCTTGACAAAAAAAGTGCGAGAGATCTATTAATTGGTAAGTTGTTGAATCGCCGTGTAAGAAACCGCTTTGCAGATTAGTAATAATGGTGTTTTTCTTCAGGAAATTAAAGACATGCTTTTAAATCCACTTTTCAAATATTTTGATTACAATACTGAGAAGAGAGACTGGTCGGTAATTTCCACATTCAGAAGGATCACCCTTTTTCAAGATAGCTGTTACATTTGCAGATTTCCAAAGATCAGGTACAGGTTTTCGAGTAAGTGATAAATTAAAAAGGTTGCATAGGGGAATTGCTATTTCATTTGCAGGAGATTTGATTAGTTTACCGCTTATGCTTTTGATGTGTCTAAATTTTGCAAAGTTGGGAAGTTGTGCATTGATCTAACTTGCAAGTGTTACAAGTGTAATGGACCTGGTCATCTTAAACCTCATTGTAATTGGACAGGTGTGGGAGAATCTCAACCAACTTTATCATGCCAACTTTGTTACCAGAAAGGACATGATGCCAAAAATTGTCATAAGCTCAGTTCCAGAACTGTTAAAATGCCCACTGAGCAGTCTCAGTTATGTTCCGATATAACTCATAAAGCTGATAAGTGTCCCACTTTAAACTAAAAAGGCCTGAGCATACAGCGCCACCCTCAGACATATGTACTTTAGTTGATCAGTGCGCTAATAATAATAGTTTTAATAGTGATAGTAGTACTGGTAATGGTAGTACTTATTCATCTGATTGTATTTCACTTGATGAAGCTACAAATTTTCTATTTTTAAGAGTCAATGTTGCGCAGTTTGCAGTTTCTGTTTTATTAGATTCAGGAAGTGCCAGAAAGTGTTGTATTTAATTTTAAGCATAGTGATGAAACTGTACATGTAGCAAATGGTGATTCAGTCAGTATATATGGCACAACTCAAATTGAAATTCATGTTAAAGGCTGTTCTGAGAAATTGTTTGTTTTAGTACATATATTTGAAAATGCATTGCATCCATTGTCATTAGGTTCTAGATATATGTATAATAATAATATTACTCTTAATTTCAGAAAAGCTGCATTGTTTAAGGGTGTTAAATGTAAAGTTAAAGTTAAATTTACTGATAATTTAGTTATTAATCCCAGATCTGAATGTATTCTACAAGGTAAATTAAGTCGTAGCATTCCTATTGGAACTCAAGGTGTCTGTGAATCACACATTGCATTGTTATCTAAGGGATTATTTCTTGCTAAAGCTATTGTTGCCTGTGATTTAGAACATATTATACCGATCAAGATATTGAACCCTGGCAATGAAACTATTTTGGTGCAGAAAAAGTCAATAATAGCCACTTATCGAATTCTCGATAATTCTTTTGATATTTTATCTTGTTTTCATGTTCAGCCTAAAGCTAAGTCTGTTATTAATTCTATTGAAGAAGGTAAGCTTCTCAATGAACAAAGTGCTTTAGATCAGTCTCTGTTTAAGATCAATCCAGAGTTGTCTCCCGTTCAAAGTCAACAAACTTTAGATTGTTTATCAAATTTTAAAGATTTATTTGTAACAGACGATAATCCTGGATTGGGTTTAACTCATGTTGTTCAACATAAAATTCAGTTAAAAGATAGTGCGATTTCTAAGCACCAACGCCCTTATCGCCTACCTTCCGACAAAAAAAAACTTTAAGACATCAGTTAGATCATTTACTAGAACAGGGTATCATAAGTTCAGTTTCAGAAACTGAGGAAGTACCTTTAACCAGTCCTATTGTATTAGTTGCTAAGCGCAACAAGCCAAAATTAGACCCCAATAATATTACCAAAGAAACCAGTTTATCATCATATCGCTTTTGTTGTGATTTTCGATATTTAAATTCCCAAACCAAGGAATTTCGTTATACAATTCCTGACTTACAAGATCTCACAGAATCTTTTTCAAAACACACTCCAAATTATATCACATCACTTGATTTGTCTCTGGATTTTTTCAGTTGCCTATTTCAAAAGATTCTCAAAAATATACAGCTTTTAATACTTGTTATGGTACTTACAAATTTTTGAGACTACCTATGGGTCTAAGGACAGCCCCTAACTCCTTTCAATTATTGATGGATAAAGTTTTGTCTGGTTTAACTTTTCAATCTGTTTTATGTTATTTAGATGATGTGTGTATTATTTCCAGTAATTTTGAGCAACACATAAAAGATATTAGAGAGGTATTAGAAAGGCTAAGGCAGGCAGGTTTAAAACTTGGTCTCTCAAAATGTGCATTTGCACAGAGTAAATGTACTTTTCTTGGTCATGAAATATCACAAGAAGGTATTCGCCTCCCAGTGATAAGATCGATATTATTATGAACTATGCTGTTCCTAAAACCAAAAAATCATTACAACGTGCACTTGGTATGTTTAATTGGTTTCGTAAATTTATCAAAGACTTTGGTGCAATTGCCCCTCCTTTGTCACTTGATAAAACAAGGTGTACTATTCATATGGACAAATGAAAGCAATGAAGCATTCCACAAACTAAAAATTGCACTTAAAGAATCTGAGGCTTTAGCATTTCCTAGATTTGACCTAGAATTCAAACTGTCAGTGGATACTAGTTCTAAAGGAATGCAAACTACAAACACATGCCGATGGTCAAGAGCATGTCGTGCGTTTTGGTTCTAAAGGATTAACCAAATGGCAACGCAATTACGGACCTACAAAATTAGAGTTGCTTTGTGTTGTAACTAGTGTTTTAGACTGTAGTTCCTACTTAAGAGGAAGACATTTTATTATTGAAACTGATCATCAAGCTCTAAAATCTTTACATCAAAAACAATTTAAAGGTGCTATATATGAACGATGGTTATCTATTTTGCAGTCTTTTGATTATGCTGTCGTTCATAAGGCTGGTAAAAAGATGTGTGTTCCAGATGCTTTGTCGAGAATGGATGTTTTTCCTGAACAGCTATCTTCAAGTCCAACTGAAGACGACCCATTCTTCGAATATGTACAAGAAAAACCTACTCAGGTTAGATTCATCAGCAATGGAAAAATTGAAAAAGTTTTCCCAGCCACTCCTTCAGTATTAGATGATCAACTCTATGATGGTGACACAGAAGACATTTATGATGATCAAACACAGACTTCAAAACATTTTAAACGTGTTACCGAACGTGAAATTAAACAATCCTGTGGGATAAAACAAACTTTAGCTACTAACATTGAAAAAAATTGTAATGGCATGTTGCTTTCATTTACCCATATAGTGATATTACAACTTCACTGGAGACTTCATCTAGTCGTAAACCGTCTATACATCTAGATATGACAGCACTATCTATTATTGTGATCCTAATCTTCTTCACATTATCCGATATTTTGAAGATGGTGTTTTGCCCCGATCACAAAGACTTTCAAGAGAGGTTCTTCTTCAACAGTCTAACTTCATTCTTTTGGAAGATTTACTATTTCATTCCCGAATAGCAAAATCTAAGCGGACCAAATCAATGTCAAATTACCAGTTAGTTCTACCAGAAAGTTTAATACCTGAGGTATTGAGATTATATCACGATTCTACTTTAGCAGCTCATGGTGGAATTCAAGATACCGTGGACAGAATCAAAGAACATTATTATTTTCCGCGATTAGCTACGACTATATTAAATCATGTCATGAATGTCAAGCTCGGAAGATCACCAAAGTTCATGTGAAAAATAAGATTATTGCTTATCAAACTCCATCAAAACCTTTTTCTGTTTGGCAGATAGACTTATTTGGACCCTTACCCATGACTAATAGTGGTGCATCTTACATTTTTACAGCTGTTGACATGTTCTCTAAATATACTTTTGCACAACCCATTCAAGGAAAAGATGCTATTACTGTATCTGAATGCTTGTTTACCTTATTTTGTACTTATGATATATGTGATACTTTGATTACAGATAAAGGTTCTGAATTTACAGCTAGAGTAACTTCTAAATTATGTGATATGCTTCAGATTTCACAAGATTTCCTTCCTGCATTTGTTCACCATTGTCTAGGAGCTTGTGAAAGGACACATTTATCTCTTGCTTCTCAACTTACACCTTATATAAATAGTAAAGCTACCAATTGGAATTGTTATTTACCATGTGTTGTTTTTGCTATGAACAATTCTGTAAATTCAAGTCTTGGATATTTCAAATATTATATGGACATAGACCAAAATTTCCATTAGTTAATCATCAAGTTTCTTTTGAGGCGATTCCTGTTGATATTTCATCATTCTTACGTCAAAAACAAGCACAGTTTGAAGAGATACGTGAAAAAGTACTGCAGAATCTTCGAAAATCACAGGAAAATATGTTATTGCATACCAATGAAAAGAAGTCAACCATTACTTTTGATATTGGTGATTATGTATATTTACATGATGATACTAATAGACCAGCTAAAAAACTTCATCACCAGTATCTTGGACCTTTTGTTATAGTTTATAAACCAAGTGATCATATGGTTAATTTATCTGATCCTTCTGGGCATAAAGTCTTTCCTAAACCCATTCATGTGGATAGGATAAAACCTGCTCATGTTAGAGTCCCATCACCAAATAATTACTTTAAAACTACCAACAAAGTTCCAAAGAAGATATTTGTTACCAAAGAATGTCAAACTGATGGTGTGTTATATTCCAATGAGATTGTGCCTCCAGTTGACAACAATCTAAAAAACGTCCTAAACGTGTTATTCGTAAGCCTGTGGGCTTTCAAGATGAGAGTTTTGTAAATCCGTCAGAAATGTTTACATCAGATTCTGATAAAAATTGTAAAATTAAGAGAGTTTTAGCTCAAAGACAAACAGCTAATGGACTTGAATATCTCGTGCATATAAAGGGTGAGCCTGCCCAAAATTCTATTTGGTTGCCTCCTGCCTGTCCTAATGCCAAAGCCATAAAATATACAAAGGATAATCCTCCTCCTTTAGCTTATACATAGTTATTTGTATTGGAGAAATGTTTAAATGTTTCATGCAATTATTTAATATTATATGGTTCCATTTCCAATGTTTGATAATATTAGTTTAATATTTCCAGGGTAGAATATTTAAAGTTGTAAAGTTAAAATATTTGATATTAGTTTATGTTAACAGGTCAAATATGTTTGATAGAATATGTTTAAGGCAAGAAGTATTTGTTCTTATTATATTCCCAGTGAGCGTATAAATCATTTATTGTATCTCCTGTACTTATTTAGTTATACTTATTGCCAACAACTTTGATATATGTTCTTGGATATTTCAATTTGCATGAATTTGACACATTTAATGTTTTCTAATGTTTTGCTATGTCACTTAACATGGAAATACATTTTGTTATTCAGCATATTTTATTGATATCTCTTTAATATTATCATTAAATTGGGAATTGGATATACTATGATGTTTGGGGTAAAGTTAACGCTCTGAACCTGTGATGTTCAATTAAGTCAATTTATTTGTAATGTTTTTAATATTTTGGTATTTGTACCCAAATCGACATGCTCATGGAAAATTGTCTCCAATTTTATTTTGAGCGGCGGATGTTGTATATCTGGATTATTAATGAGTAGCTCGATTGTGGTAAAGGGACATAACTCCAAGATGTAAAAGTTAAAAAATACGAAACAATAAATTAGTTTCAGCTTTGTTTTTGGTTCTTTCATGTGAGATGATCGTGTTGTGATTTTAATTTGATTGTTCCTGATTAAATTGTGATTGTTGAATCTGTTTTATTTGATATGTGCACCATACACAACATGGTGCCAACAATATGATTTGCGGTAATTGTTATCAACTCTTCTGTGAAAAGGGCAGTTTTAATTTTGATATGCTCACATGATATTTATGTCGAGATAACCCATCTGTCAAAAAAAAATCCGCACTTGTTAGTCTTATGATAAGTAGTGTTAAAATGGTTATACATTGGGCTTGGCCTAAAACATTAAAAGTTTCAGTATATTAGTAGAACTCTTCTCAAACACAAATATTTGCTTGACACTTCTTCTAGAACTGTCTGTTTTGAAATTTTGAGCGTACGATTCAGGGAAAACAGGTTTTACGTTCATAAAGACGTTATCGGAGCCACCTTTTAATAATATGCACCTAGGGAGGAAAATGATTGGACAAGAAGGCACTGAATTTCATTAATTTACAAAAATATATGCCGTGTGTGGAATATATTTCTGGTGAGGAATAAATCAGTATCAGCATGTGGGCTTAAGTGTTTTTCTTAAATCATTTATCTTTGAAGGAATGTTATTAGTTATAATGAAGTTAATTACCACTGTGTATACATACAACGGTTTTTTCTGGACTTATTTATAGATCAAACACTGTACACGAAAATAGATGATGCATTTTGCCGCCGATGTCGAATTGGTTACTCGTGAAATATGGGCAGAAGTGGGGGAATCATAGACATAAAAGAATCCGTTTTATAAATCGGACGAAATTCGGGGTTGAATCCTTATATGTACGAAAATAGGTTACATTACTGTACTTAAAATAGTTCAACTCTCTGCATTCTTTTTCACGCTCACAGGTTTGTTAACGTTTTATGTGACATTCAAATTCATAACTATAGATAAACTTCAACCTCACCAATCTTGAGAATGCGCACTCGAGACTGTGGGGATGAACTGGAACGATTTGCATGTACTTCATAGAGATTAGGGTGGTTGAAAGGTAACAGGTTACTACCCAACAAAAGGCACTGGCAGTTATAAATAGAACAACATAACTCTTGTCGGCCGATTTGATTTGGTTTCGATTTGCTAGTACAATTTGGTTCAATTTCGATTAGATTAGCAGTGGTCTACATATGCGAAATTTGATATCGGCGATAAAGCAATATGGCTGCCTCCGCTGACAAAAAAAGGCATCTATTTTGATTATTATTACAGTCAAGTCACCCAATTTCGTGCTAACGTATTATTCGTGCATCTCTGGAATTGATTAATAATTCACATGCGCGACCTGGGGTGACCTCCGCATTTGGATGTTTGATAAACATGGGTTATCTATGGTAATCTATACACCAAGATCTCTACAATGTCAACCTGTAAATTTTTTTTGTCGTTTCTAAAGCTTTAAAATTTTTAAATTTATAATTTATTTGTAACATATACATAATGGCGGATTTCAGTTATTACCAAACATCACAATTTTTTATCGGCCGAATTTCCAGTGTCGTCTGCTAGAATGTATTCCACGGATTCCTTGTCAGCAGACAAATTCTATCGAACACAATGCATTTAGTGTTTCTCAAGCCTATTTACATATATTCAAGACACAAATAAATGGTGCATCTGTTCCTTTAAGTTCGTTTAATCTAGATATCGTCTAAGCTGTTATCTACATTCAGATTTTCCCAAAAGTGTCTACCGTTTTCTGGCATCATCGGACTCAGTTTTGCTATTATGTCGTCTTTTTTCTGTTGACTAACCCCTCTAAATCCATTTCTTAACGGAGTTGGCCTGTCCAGACTAAAGGTCATTTTTAGAAAATCCAATCCTCTAAACTCTTCATCATGGCTTGTTTTGTAGTTAAGAAGTCTGGACCTAAGTCTTACTTGTGCTTGAACAACATCTGCAAGCATAGGTCTAGGTTTCTTTAGCTAAGCAGCAGATTAACCACCAACCCAGGCCCGAATATCATCTGGTTGTAACTGAATTACACCCATGTACCTCGAATTAGAATCAGCCACACAAAATCAGAAAAATCATAAAGATTTCCACCAGGCTTGTTTGACATCTCTTTCTCAACACCAGGTGAACTGAGTCAGCGCTCATGAATGTATGTTCGCGCTCAAAGTATTTCAGCGTTATATCTTGTGCGCTTATACTCACTCCATTAACAATGGCTACCAAAGTTGAAAAGCAAAAATTTTTATTCCGAGCGACACAGTTATCCAAACAGAATATAGTATGGTTAACATCCCTCTAGTGCTGAAGAGCTTTTACAAATGCTGATGTAATTTCCTCTTGTTTTCTCCCACCAATTGCTTCATGCCAAACAATTGACACTGTATTTTTCTTATGTTTCTTCTTCGCTTTTACCAACAGAAGCGAAGGTTTCATGAAAGGCAATTATTCGCCTAGTGAATAATGCTGACTTATTGCCGGGCATTCGAGGAAGTATTATCACCTTCTGTAAATCAACACTGCGCTCACTGACGTCAATAGGGAAATCTTGATCAGCATCGTTCTGATAATTCACCCTGCTTACTTTGGCTGCTCTCACATGTTTAACCCAAGATGTACATCTTTCACAATCCAGATTATCTCTTACACCGGGTTCAGCTTCATCATCTATGACGGCTTGAAGTGCCTCAACAGCCACGGAATGATCATGGCAATGTTTGTTCATGTGAAATTATTTCGCAGCCCTCTTTCCCCAGGTTAGTAAAGCTTATTTTCACCTTTTTGCCTCTGATCTGTAAACGTCATATGAACATTTGAAACCTTCGTAATTATCTTTAAGGCCAGCATGCATTGCAGTAATGTTCACGTTACTGGGTAAATATTGGGTAAGAGCGGTGATAACTGCTTTGTCATTTTTCTTATGGTAGCCTAAACTGGTCAGGAAAAGTGTTGTGCGCATCTTTAAGCTTGTAGTGATAACTTAGGTTTCGGTGACTTACATGCTCGCCATTTGTGAATTTTAGAAACTCTGTCAATAGTGTGTAACAACGATGATTTCCGTTCATTGTATGTCACTCCCCAATATCACTCCCATATCTCCTGGCGTCGATTTAGTGACAAGTACTGAGAACAATTCTTTTTACACCCGCTACCTTCACAGGATTGCTGGATTGGATGACTTTTTCTGTCCCTTTCTAATTTATCAGTGCTCGGGCGAATACGTTTTGTTTTCTGGTGATCTAAAGCATCATCCCTGTCGGATTCAGTAGGATTGTCATCACCCTCAGAATCTGATGCAATATGTGTGTTATCTGGGTCAGAAACATCATCCATAATTGTTTCTTCCTGTTCTGGTATGGTTTGAGGAACATTTACGTCTACCAATTCGAGCAAAACTTGTGATTCTTCAACAGGTACATTATCGTGTGTCAGTCCATTCTTATTCAGTTGATTTATGTTGGGATTTTCCCAAACATTTAACTGACCCTCGCTTATTAAAGGAAACAATAAGGCTACTAAATCTTGTTGTTCTTGGCTTGGATTAAGGGGGACATCTTCTTTTATTAATTCACCTTCATTGCATTTCATTGGCCATTTCGAAACAGACTATTTTCCTATTGAGCCATTCCACCAACCCCCCACCCTTTTTTTTTCGGACCTGTGGAAGGTTAATTTCAAATTGAAATTAAGCCTTCTAAGTTAGCTTGTTTCAGATGGATTTAAAGTTACATTATTTCACTGTGAAAGTAAATTATCGTAACTTACCTTGTCCAGACACATTTAGCATCATTTAGCCTTTAAACAGGTTCATTTTGATATTTTTGATTCATCTTTATTCAAAAACTGGAGCCACTAAACTTTCAAGTTCTTATTTGTAAACACGGTATCTTCCAACCTCATTCTGATATAACACATGGCTATTAAGGCAAAAGGCAGAAAGTGTAGGGTTAACAAGACAGTACTAACTGAGTCAAAGGGCGGTAACTTCCAAGGACCTGTGTATTACGTGTGGCAGAGAGCAGTAAGTGAATTTACTGCCATCTGCTTCAGCATTGTTTGATGAATATACAGATACTGCCTGTTACCTACCCTTAAATCTCGAACATAACTTGTTATATTACTAACGGGGTCCTATTAAAGTGATGCTAAGATACTGCTTACTTAGATTAAGGTTGAACTTCAATTTGGACATATTTGCACTTACTGCCTTTTGCCTTAGCAGATAAATAGGTTAACGAATTTCCTATTTTACAGCAAAGAAACACAACGGAAGTAACAATTTCTAAATGCATTTTAAACAAGATACAATGGACTTATTTTTATCGAAACGGCAACGTGGAGTAAATGCATAATGTAGAAAGACTCATTTACAAACAAGGTTAGTGACTTGTGCAGAGGTTAAATCCAACATGGCGGACCGTGAAGAATTTCTAGCAAAATTAAGTTCCATTCGTTAATTGTGAAAAGTGAACAGACCCTATATATCTGGAATCGGTAAAAAGTAATGGTAGTGTGTCACTGAACTATATTCTATCGTGGTTGGATTTTAGTGAAATTACTTGAACAAGGAAGGGAAAAGGAGCCCTTCGATGAATGAACTAAATGTGAATCTACTAGTTCTTTAGCCAAACTTTTACTCGTTACAATGGATGATTAATGTAAATTTGTGATTAAATATTCATGTCGCCATCTCGGTTTTATTAATGAATCTTAAGGTACCGAAGGCACTGCAACCCCCATTTACTACCATTAAAGTCTGCTTTGCTATTCTGATGTGAAGTCATTTTGTTGCTCCCCATTAGGCCTACTATTAGGTTATCATGGCAATAGGCGCCTAAATATTCATCATAATGAAGGCATAGCACCCTTTGTTGTCCCGTTTAATACAACCAGCAATCGAGCAAGCAAGATAGTTCATTCCCACTATAAGATCCTTCAAGAGAAATTCCCCCATGTCTATAAGCAGAAAATGATAGTTGCATATTCAAAAAATAAGAACAACTGGTATAGAGCCAGGTTTCAGTTGATTTTAACTTGGCCTGGTAGTTGACATAACCCTTTAAAATAAATTAGTGTAGTCACTAACTTCTGGTTTTACAGCTTCATCACCACAAAAACTTTTTTTAATTAACCATAGTCTTTCACAAGTTTTTCTACCTAGCAAAGGTTAAACATTACCATCACAAACTACAAATAAGTTTTTATATTTCTTCCCCTTATGTTCAGTTTCTAAGATACTTTGTCCTATTACTTTTCGGGGAAGGGAGGGTTTGATTCTCCCAAATTTACAGGCCTAGGGTGGAGCAGACACACTTTATTTAGAAATTTATAGGATTAAGGTCTTGATATTGGGTTTTCTTCTTTTCTTATTCTGATCTGAAATTACAAAAAATAACTCGCCCGATGGGCAAAGGTTTAGTATCTGTTATGTACTGATTGTTTTTAGTTTACTATGAACAATATTATTAAGTTAAGTTCTATAATTATATAAGTTCTTATTTTTTGAATATGAAACTATCATTTTCTGCTTATAGACGTGGGGGAATTTCTCTTGAAGGCTCTTATAGTGGGCATGAACTATCTTGCTTGCTCGATTGCTGGTTGTATTAAACGGGACAACAAAGGGTGCTATGCCTTCATTATGATGAATATTTAGTCCTATAGGTCTTGCTGTATTCAATGTCTCAATCCAATGGGCCTCCCTAGATTGACGGAATTTGGTAGTTTCATCTTCGGGCAAGTCAATTTCTATACGCTCAATTGGGATTAGGGTGAGATCGTCTATTGAATGGTCGTCGAGATTGAAATGATTAGAAACAGGCTTGTCTTTCTTTAATTTGATGTCCGACCTATGAGCATTAAAACGGGTTCGTAAATTATTCTTAGTTTCTCCTACATATTGTTTGGGGCATTTCTTACATGAAATTAAATATATTACATTCGAATGTTCACATGTTAGATGTTCCTGGATCGGGTACCTTTTATTCGTAGAGTTGCTTAGAAAAAAATGAGTTTCTGATATAAAGGGACATGTTTTGCATCTACTGGACAAAAATGGAGCACTTCTTAAACCTGGAGGTACTTCGGCATAAAGTCTGTTTTTAGCTGCTATCTGTGCTAAGGTGGATTTTTTTATGTTTCGTAAAAATCGTTTAGAGTACCCACGCTCTTTCAGTTTTGAGAAAACAATCGTACAGGCTTGGTTGAAATCAGAAGATCTTGTACAAATTCGATGAAATCGTAAAACTTGTGACTTAATTATACCAGAAAAGGTATGTTTTGGGTGAGAGGAGCTCTTGTGCAAGAGTTGATGAGTATCAGTTTCTTTGAAATACACTTAAATATCCAGTTTATTTGTTCCTGCTATGGAATCTCCCTTAAAGACTGTGGTATCGAGAAAGTCTATGCTTTTGTCAGTCACGTTTGCGGTTAGTTTGATAGAAGGATGGTGTTGTTGAGAATTTCAAAGAATTCCCAAAACTGTTCGATAGAATAAGTCCAAACCATAAAAATGTCATCCAAAAAGCGTCCGTAAAAAAGTGGGTCAAATGGACAGAGGGGCAACACCTCACGTTCCCACTCTGCCATGAAAAGGTTTGCGTACGAAGGGGCGAATCGTTTGCCCATTGCTGTCCCTGAAGTTTGTAAATATGTTTTACCATTAAATGTGAAATCGTTTCGACTAAGACAAATCTCTAAAAGCTGTAGAATTGCATCGTCGGGTCTGTTTGGATCTGGGTTTCTATTAAAAGCTTTACGAACTGCCGTTATATCAGTAGTGTTATCGATATTGGTATACATAGAAGAAACGTCGATAGAAATTAAAATAGCATTAGAGGGAACTCGAAGATTTTTTATTTTATTGACAAAATCGGTTGTCTTTAAGGTAGGCGCGATGTTGACATGCTAGAGGTAGTAAGAAATGATCAATGTATTCTGACACTGCATATGACTCACTACCACAGTCAGATATAATCGGGCGGCCTTTTATTCGAGATAAACCACTCCTTGGTTGGATTCTTATGGATTTTAGTGTACAAATGTCTCTCGCGACAATCAGGTTTGGCAGACAGATAGTCATATTGTTTCTGTTTGAGATTTTACAAATTACAAACTCAAATTACAAAAGGAACTTAATCTAATCCGCCAAAGAACAAAAAGAACAAATATCACAAAAGAACTTAATCTAATTCAAATACAAAGAATTTAAATTCAGGGAAATAGGGCGGGAGGGCAAAATTAAGACTATACGTCTGTTACCAGTAAAATAATGAAGTCACTATTAACGAACAGATATAATGAAAACAAGGTGAAAACCAATCACCGGTATTGAAAGGGTTAATCTGACCTGTGCTGACCTAAGCTAATTTACACTTAAACTCATTGTACGAAGCAAAATCGAAATATCTGAAAAATAAAATAGTTAAAGGAGTTGCCAATTAAACAATTTATAGATAAAATACTAAAATTCCCAACCCCAATAACAAAACAGTAGTAAAGTAAATGAATACTTTAATTATTGTGGCCAAAATATACTCAAATTTTACAAATTACAAACTCTTAAATAATTAATAAAAGAACAAAATGAACAAACATTACAAAAGGAACTTAATCTAATCCGCCAAGCCAAAGGCCCGCAAACCGAAACATGCGATTGTTACATTATAGATAATCTTATAATTGGCCTCAATACAAAACTTACATAGATTGTTTAATAAGGTCTGTCATTCTCTGAGCTGTTGAAAACCGATCTTCCAAAGAAAAGTCAAGGTAAGCTTTATAGGCGTCACTGCGCCAATCGCCTTGAAGCTGAACTAGATCAGCTGGGACCTGAGCTCTAAATGCCCACGTGCCACCCCCTCTCCTAAAACTATGTGAAGAGTAAATCAATGGGTTGCGTTTTGTTTTCTGAACAAGACACCTTAGTTTCGTCATAAGTTTTACGTAAGTCAATGGAACGGTACTACCCTTCTGAACAATTCTAAAAAATGGGTCCGATGCTTTACCAGGTAGAAATGAGAGTGCTCTTCGCACCGCTATTACAGGGCATAAAACAGAACCTGGAATTGGTACAAGCGGAAAAAACAAAACACGCTCTCCAAATTGGATGGTCTTAGACCACTTAAATCTAACTAAAACATTAGTATCTACGTATGACACGTCTCTAATACATAGCTGCTTTTTCTTGTCAAAACTCTTAGCTGACGCTGGTACCAAATTTGACTTCCTACACATAAGAAAAAAGGCTAATAAAAAGTAACACCAATACATAGCATCATTTGCATTATCTAAATTCAAAATTGTACTGAATTCTATCAAAATAGTAGGCGTAATAGGCAAGGCCCGTTTTTGGTAATGGGAATTTAATCTACCCAGACCTTTTAAAATAAGTTTGAGTTCAATAGATTCTGAGTGGGGGAAATCAAATTCGAGCAATATATGCAAAAGTTTGACACCATAGATATAATTCTTAATTGATAGGACAGACTCAAAACTTCTACTGAGAAATTGAGCATAAAGAATAACGTTGTTTAATGAAGCAGGTAAGGGTCTTAACTCAAAGAAGGTGCAAAATTCTGGATTCACAC